GGTACCTACCTCTCTGACTCCCAATACCTGCCTCATCCTACTCTCTACCACCCAAATCCTCCTGCTGCTGCTGCTGCTGCTGCTGTTGCTGCTGCTGTAACCACCACCAACACTGACAACACCTCATGGAGAACTTACCCAGGAGCAGGAGCGCTGCAATTATCCACATGATGAATCTGCCTGCAGTAGCTGCAGAAGGATGGAAATGCACTGGCTTGGGATGGGGACAAAGAGATAGATGGTGGCCAGTGGCTGACCACTGGCTACTAAGGGACCTTGCTGCTTCTCCCATCCATTCCTAGTTCCTGAAGATGATGGATTAGTGAAAGCAAGAGATGGTATGAATGTGTTTTTGTCCCCTCCCTTCTCCCCTCCCAACCCAGACATCAGGATCCATCCAATCGACCTTCTCTAGCTCTGAGTCCTATAGACAGGGCTGCAGAGATTGTACCTCTTATAAGGTAAGAGACCCATTAAGAACCCAAGATTCCTTCAGGTGACCCTGCCAGCTCCCAACAGCATTCCATTTTTACTCCATCCCCCTCCCAATCAGCCAACAGATCTTTTTTGTCCTCCCCCTGTTACTGAGGCTTGATCTCAGGGCCATATGCTCTCACTTGGCTTTTTCACTCAAGACTAGTACTCTACCACTTGAACCATGCCCTTACTTTCAGCTTTTTGCTGGTTAACTGCAGATAAGAGTCTGCATGGGGGCTGGGAAGGTGGCTCAGTGGTAGAGCGCTTGCCTTGCATGCATGAGGCTCTGAGTTCGATTCCTCAGCACCACATAAGCAAAAAGAAAAAAGCCGGAATGGCGCTGTGGCTCAAATGGTAGAGTGCTAGCCTTGAGCTGAAGAGTTGAGGGACAGCGCCCAGGCCCAGAGTTCAGGCCTAACGACCGGACCCCCCCCCCCCAAAAAAAAGAGTCTGCATGGGCTGTCTTTGAACTATGACTCTCAGATCTCAGCCTCCTGAGTAGCTAGGATTAAAAGCATGTGCCACCAGTGCCCAGCAATAAATCTCAATGGTAGACCAAAAGGTCTCCTGGGGCCTTATTTCTGATGACAAATTTTAGTGCATGGCCTAAAAAGGTCAATGTTGAGGACCGTGCACCAGAGCTCACATCTTCCCAAAATGAGTAAGACAGGCATGATTCACCAACCATCCTTCCATATCTTGCTGTCCATTCCCCAGTCAAAGACAGAAGTACAATGTGTTTTCTTTTCTTCTCTTCCTGAAACCTTAAACCTTCAGAAATTAGAAAAGTTCTTTCCTCTTTTTTTTTTTTGTCGGTCGTGGGGCTTGTTTCCTATTCACCCCAGTGATCTTACCTGGTGGCCCCTCTCTTCACTTGTTTCTTGCTTCTTTCCTTCCTGGGTCCCTGAAAGTCACCCCTGCAACCATACTCCAGTCCCCAGGACTCCTGACCTGGCAGAGACCTTGGTGTCTCAGTGCTTCAGAAGTTTCTCAGTTCAGGCTTGTGTTCTCTCTAAGCCATGTGACCACCCTTGAGCAATGAGGAACCTGAATTTCAATGTAAATAGTTAATGAATTTTCCAAGGAGATACTATGTCTCTTTGGGCTCTCTCCTGTCCTCACCAGTGGCTGTTTAGAAAACAAGGACACCTCTTTCCCTTGGAACTCTGATAGGAAGGAGATCAATTATCAGACATGGTCAACTCTGAGCAAGATCCCATACTCTCTTTTGTTAATAGTCAAAGTTCTACTCTGGCAATTAATTCTCTCCTAGTTTAGCTTACTGTGCTATATTATGTTGAAAATGTAAATGTACCTTAAAGAAACAGGGCAGGGGGCTGGGAAGGTGGCTCAGTGGTAGAGCGCTTGCCTTGCATGCATGAGGCCTTGGGTTCGATTCCTCAGCACCACATAAGCAAAAAAGAAAAAAGCCGGGAGTGGCGCTGTGGCTCAAGTGGTAGAGCGCTAGCCTTGAGCTGAAGAGCTGAGGGACAGTGCCCAGGCCCAGAGTTCAGGCCCCATGACCGGACACCCCCCCCCCCCCCCCGCTCCCCCCGTCCCCCCCCCGCCCCCCCCCCCCCCCCCCCCCCCCCGTCCTCCTCCCCCCTGCCAAAGAAAGAAATAGGGCAGGTCATTTGCATTATACTGGCTACTTCAGATCCTAGGTTGGGAGTTCTACCACCTCTGGTGCTCAGAATCAAATTCAGAATCTTGCACATTCTAAGCAAGCACTAACTACTAAGCTATATCCCTAACCCCCAGAAGCAGGTTTTGATAAAATAATAATAATAATAAATAAATAAGGAGGTAAACATGTAGGTCTAAAAAAATGGGGAAGTATTAGACAGAATACCCAGGAATAGGGTAGAAAGAAAACTAGATGTGGGAGCAGAGATGATTAAAAGTCTACTTTAGTAGTGCCCATGCCAAGCACTGCTCCCGTGCTTCTTGGCATCTTGCCTGACCCTGCAACTTAAGATCAGTGTAAAGCTCCCCATACCAGCCATGGCCTGCTCCAGTGGTCTGACTTCTGTACCAGGTCATAATAATGTAAAACAGCTGTTAGCTTCCCTTTATTCCCTGAATAAATGAACTCTATTTTTACTTCTCTTTGCCAGAGCATATATTTCAGTCTGTTACTAGATCCCAGAAGATATCTGACTACACTACTCGTGTGCTATGCAGTTGTCATCCTTGGAAATCTCGAGAACTAGCCTCAGAGTTCATTAATAGACAGGGCTCAGAATTTGTTCTTTACAACACAATAGGAAAGTTTCTAAAGACTGCTGAACTATTCACAACAGCCAAGATATGAAAACAACCCAGATGCTCCACAATAGATGAGTGGATCCAAAATAGTGTGGTACCTAAAAACAATGGAATTTTACACAGCCATTAGAAAGAATAACATAATGTCATTTGCTAGGAACTAGATGGAACTAGAGCAAGTCATGTGAAGTGAGGTAAGCCAAGCTCAGAGAGACAAATGATGCATGTTCTCTCTGATATGTGGAAATTAGATCTAAAACACACTAGGATATGACAAATTATACAGGATTCTAGATACACACAGTGAGACCAAAAGAGGATAGTCATAGGAGAGAAATACAGAGGCACAATGCCTAAGTGCCTCTTCATATTTATATAAAATAACATATATATCAAAATGAACTCTATTATATGGAAACAATAGACCTGTCTTTTCTTGTTTTGTTTTCTATTTTTTTAATTTTTAGGGTTTTTTGTTTGTTTTGTTGGTTGTGGGGCTTGAACTCTGGGCTTGGGTGCTGTCCCTTAGCTTTTCAGTTCTTCTTTTCAGCTTTTTTACCACTTATTCCACAGGACCACTTCCAGTTTTCTGGTGGTTTATTGCTTGGGCTGGCTTTGAACCGCGATCCTCAGATCTCAACCTCCTTGAGTGGCTAGGATTACAGGTGTGAGCCACTGGCACCCAGCTTAGTTTTTTTTATTTTTTGATGATTCTTTACCATATGTATGGTGTATTCACATGTATATCTTTGGAAGGGTTGGGGGGAGGGTACAGAACTCTAGGGGAAAAGGGTGAAAAAGTGCAGCAGTGGAACTCACTGGACACTGCTGAAAGTGCACTATACAACTCATGGGTAGAGATGTGGGGGAGGGTCTGGGAAAGAATGAGGGAACAGAAGACACTGTATGAAAGGAAATGAACTCATTATCTGACTCATGTAATTGTAATCCCTCTGTACATAACCTCTATAATAACAAAAAAGTAAATTAATAACAATAATTTTAAAAGGTTCCTAAAGAGTCCAGAGCACACTATTTCATTGTGCTGTTTCAAGACCTGCCCAGTTCATCTAGAATCTCCCCTAAATTTTCCCCAAGTGGATCTTTTCTTCCTTCTAAAATTCCTCCAGACACACCTGAATTTTAATTCTCCATTTCTTTACTATTTAAAGAAATTCAGCAAATATTGTTAGGTGAACTATTTTTCATATGAGGTTTTACTATCTTGCCAAGTTGGTCTCAAATTCCTAGGCTCAAGTGATCCTCCTTTCTCAGTCCTGTCAGTGTTAGAACTACAGGCTTTCACCAACACAGTTGGCCTAAATTTGATCATGTAGCAGAGGCCAACTGCTCTATTCTTTTGTAGCTGCTGAAAAGATACTATGAACTAGCAGGCAGCTCATGTCTGTCATCCCAGCTCCTAGGAAGTCAGGGGCTGGGAGGATGGAGTTTCCAGGCTAACTTGGGCAGAAAGTAGCTTATTAACAGCAGAACAGAAATTTATTTTCACAGATCTAGAGCTTAAGAAGTCTAAAATTAAGATGATCCAACAGATTCTGTATCTGGCAAGGGCTCAGTTTCTGATTCATCAAGAATACTTTCTAGCTGTATGCTTACATGGCAGAAGAACAAGCCAGTTTTGTGTGGTTTCTTTTCTAAGAACACTATCACTGATCAGAATAACACTGTCCTCATGCCTAATCATCTCCACAAAGTCTCACTTCCTAATACCATCATCCAGGGTTAGGAATCAACATATGAATTTTGGGGAGACAAAAACATTCAGATCATATGACCAACCAAATGCTACCATGTAATGCATGACTTGCTAAAGAATATGGGAAGGGAAGACTAATTTAAATGTGAAGAAACTCCCAGTGGTACACCTGGTTTTCATTAGGCTGAGGTTGCTGCAATTTTAGCACCACAGACATTTTGGGACAGAAAATCTTCTGTTGTAGGAAAGGGCTGCCCTGTCATATAGAACAGACAACAACATCCTTGGTTGATAAATGTCTTGAACTACTGAATGCTAATAGCACACAACCCCCTCACCCTGGTAAGGACAAAATGTCCAGGGGACAATACTAAATGTCTTCTGGGGGTGGGGAGAAGTTGCCTACAGTAGATACTAGCTTACTAAATACACCTCCACTGCTTTTTTTAAATTCTATGGGCAACAGAAGGAAATTCCTTATCTAAAGAGAGCAGATTTACATTGCCAAGTTAAAAAGAATGCACGATTACAGCTGAACTTCCATGATCACTCTATACATATTTATTTATATTTGCCCATCTCCATTATTCTAACAAAATGCTGGGACATATAAAACAGTGTTGATGCTCAGGACAACAACAGCTGGTATTGGGAATGATTGAGCCACATTGTGGGTGAATAGTGTACTTTTATTTGTCAGGAGCCTTTGTGATCCCAGACTTCAGGGATCTAGACAAATCCCTTAGCTCCATGACCATGTGACCAAGGAGAACCCTTACATCTTGCATGTGTTTGAGAAGAATGCGCATTTGGTGATGCAGATGAGGGTCTGGAGAGGAGAAGCCTGCGTGCTCAGAAGTGGAGGTAGGCAGTGGAGGTAGAGGCTCAGAGGGCTTCTTTGGAGATGTTGCTGGAGCAGCTTGTTTCTGAGGAGCTGGATTCCAGGTAGAGGATGTGGTAGAGCTGGAGGGACCTAGATTATAGAACAGGAGGCATACCTAAGAGTAAAGTGTAACTCTGACACCTGTCTTCATCACTCTTTCCTATAATCTGGAAGTGATTGTAGGGTTCAATGGCAACAGGGACTTATGGACTATAGTGTCTCTTCTTATCTAAATTTTAATCTGAGCCGGGCGCTGGTGGCTCATGCCTGTAATCCTAGCTACTCAGGCTGAGATCTGAGGATCGCGGTTCAAAGCCAGCCTGGGCAGGAGAGACCGTGAGACTCCTATCTCCAATAAACCACCAGAAAACCGGAAGTGGCGCTGTAGCTCAAGTGGTAGAGCACTTGCCTTGAGCTGAAGAGCTGAGGGACAGCGCCCAGGCCCAGAGTTCAAGCCCCACGACCGACCAAAAAATAAATAAATAAATAAATAAATTTTAATCTGAAACTTGGCTATCTGTATTTGACAATCTTTAGAGATGAGGCTTCATGATTAGACAGCAATTACTATTAACCAGTTTCTCCTTTTCTCAAGTAGGCTCGTATTCTCTGAAGCATGGTTGTGGTATCTAGTATATGAAATGTCTAATTCCTCATCCTTGTACCAGCCTTGAGCTTTTGGGGAGCATCTGTGCTAGTCCCTGAGCCACCTCCTTTTCAGGATGGTATTACTTGTGGGGTTGGTTCAAGTGAAGTTGGCCTAAAGGAGATATTCTCTGTGATCTCTTCCATCACTGGGGACTCTGGTCTGTTCCTGCTCTCCTGTGTCTCTTCTTTACCTATTTACTCCAAACTCTAGCTGATAGATCTAGTTATCCTGTTCCCTCTCCTCATTTTCACACACACACACACACACACACACACACACACACACACACACACATACACACACACCAGACACATACACATTAACTTACCCTGTACCCTTATCTCCAACTCTGGGCTGTGTTTCCAGACTTGGCCATCATCAGTGGCTGCCTCACACCAGTAGGACCCAGAGTGCTCTACTGAAGCTGTGGGGATCTGGAATTCTGAGGAGAGGCCCCTGCTGCGAAGTATCCTTCCATCCTTGTAGAAGGAGTACAAGAGGTGATGGGCAGCTGACCTCTGTGGGGACAGCTTTGTCTGACAGCTTAGGGTCACTGGACCTCCCTCTTGGGGCTCAGCAGAGAGCAAGGCTGTGAGAACTGGGGCTGGAAACAGTTCTAGGGGAAAGAAGCCAGGGGAGAAGAGGTCAGCCATATCTTAGATAGATCCATGAAAGGAAGGCAAGGTACCCCTTGTCACACGGCCTCTCTCATTTTCATCAGAAATGGGCTCTGTTAGAAAGGTTCTATTTAAACTTAATAACTAGATACCCAATGTGTAAATATCAGGCAGTAGAAATCTGGGTGGTAGACACAACACACTAGACTCTGAGTGGAGCTAAATGGCCTGAAAAGGCCTTGCTGAGACTTTACCCCTCCTGAAACCCAACCTGGGCATTTGCCAGCACCCTCTCCTTCAGGCTTCAATGATTTTTCCACCTCTAGGTCAAGGAAAGACAATTTCCACTTCCCTCATCTGTCAATTCTGCAGTCACAAAGCTGCTTCTAGTTCTCACCTTGGACTGTGATAGCCACAGTGGATGCTGTTTCTGGGTTCCCTAGAGCCGAGCTTCTGAAGATGCCACTACAGTGGTAGTACCCACTGTCTGCCTCTTGCACCAAAGCAATGGAGAATTCCTTGTTAGGTCCAGGTAGAGCCAGGGCTGAGCCATCTCGGTAGAAGGTGACCTCAGTCAATGGCCAGTCTTGCCAGGCCTGGCAGCGAAGAACCAATGGGTCTCCTTCAAATATGGGTGCAGCTGGACCTTGGAGGATCAGCCAGTCTGTAGCCCAGAGCAAGAGCTGAATGTCATCGGTGCTCTCCTTTGGAGCCCTCCAGTCACGTACACAACAGGCTCCCCTAAACTTTGAAGGTCCAGATAATTCCCCCTTGGGGTGTTGTGGGGGGGTATGTGGGTATGTGTGGGTGTGTCTGTTTGTCTGTACTAGGGCTTGAACTCAGGGTCTCTTGATCTTGCTGCACTTACTCAAGGCTGGAGCTCTACCACTTGATCCATACCTCCACTGCTACCTTTTGGCTGGTTAATTGAAGATGAGAGTCTCAGGGACTATTCTGGCAGGGCGGACTATGAATCATGTGCCAGCCTTCTGAGTACTCAGCGAGGATTACAGACATGAGCCACCAACATCCTGCTAATTCCTGCCTCTAAATTACCTATCTCAGTGGTCCCTGTCTCTTGAACTTTCCCAAGCAATGACAAAGACCTTCTTCTGTCTCCCCCTCTACTCCAAGACTTATCTGTAACTATGAAATAATTCTTTGCTTCCAGCTGGAAGCTAGAGTTTTGAGTTTCTCACCACATTTCCTTAGCCTGTCTCCTACCTCCATGACTGACTTGGTGAGGAATGTGGAATAAATTCTCTAGGGCCTAGAACTGAGGACATCTTGACTTCTGGGGCCTGAAGCTGGGGAAGAAATTAACTCCACTCATGGACAACTTCCTGAAGGGCACTTTCCTAGTGAGCTGTGGGGCTAAGGAGGGCTTTTAGATACTAGGCAGGTCTTCCCAGAACCTCACCATAGGACACAATCAGATGAAAGGGTTCACTGAAAGTGTAGCCAGCTTTCCTTGGGTGGGTCGTCTCATCATCAGGGTGACAGCTGCTCTCTCTGGTACTGACAGTTTCTTCACATTTCAGAGTGGTCTCAAAACTGGCAGCTGAAGAGGCATGGTCCAGGAAGAACCAGAAAATGATGTTGAAACTTAGAGAAAGGTGAGAGGAGGAAATGGCCTTTCACAAGGGTTCCTCCCCTCTCCCAGGAGAACCATTCTTTTTTTTTTTTCTGGTCAGTCGTTGGGCCTCAACTCTGTCTAGGCGCTGTCCCTCAGCTCTTCAGCTCAAGGCTAGCACTCTACCACTTGAGCCACATCACCACTTCTGGCTTTTTCTGCTTATGTGGCACTGAGGAATCAAACCCAGGACCTCATGCATGCAAGGCAAGCACTCTACCACTGAGCTATCTTCCCAGTCCAGAACCATTCTTTTCAGAGTGAGAATAGGAAGATACCAAGGATTCCTTTACAAGAAAACCCCTAGGGATCTTCAGAAGGATAGTCTGGACCTTGGTTCATTGTTTCCAGATGCTGTATAAGAAATGTGGTTGAGGGAAGAGGTTGGACAGAGAATGGCATCCAGTTGTTATTGAAGAAAAACAGAGGCCAAAGACAGCCACAAACCCAGCCAGCAATTTCCAATATGTTCTCTACCTTATTTGTTTTTTTATGTGTGTATGCCATACCAAGGAACTTAAGACTACAATGAGAGCTACATCTCCACTCCAGCATTTTGCTGGCTAGTTGGAGATAAGAATGTCTATAAGCCCGGCGCTGGTGACTCACACCTATAATCCTAGCGACTCAGGAGGCTGATATCTGAGGATCATGGTTCAAAGCCAGCCCAGGCAAGGAAAGTCTGTGAGACTCTTATCTCCAGTAAACCACTAGCCGGGCGCTGGTGGCTCACGCCTGTAATCCTAGCTACTCAGGAGGCTGAGATCTGAGGATCGCAGTTCAAAGCCAGCCCGGGCAGGAGAGACCGTGAGACTCCTATCTCCAGAAAACCGGAAGTGGCGCTGTAGCTCAAGTGGTAGAGAGCTCGCCTTGAACTGAAGAGCTGAGGGATAGTGCCCAAGCCCAGAGTTCAAGCCCCACGACCAACCAAAAAAAAAGAATGTCTATAATTGACCAGAGCAAATTAAATAACATTTCTGGCTTCTCTGTGACCACTCCTTGTTCCCCTTTTATCCCGCTCTCCCTCTTGCAGCCATATGGCCATCCATGTATACTTCACTTTTACTCCATCCTCTTCTGTCCCACTTACCTTTGTTTCCTTCCATTTCCAGTGGCCCTGGATTCTTCTTTGATTTGGTAAGTTCCTGTGCTTAACTCTGCTTCCCAGTTCCTACCATACCATACCAAATGCTTTCTTAAAATTCTCTCATATCTTGTCACTTTAACTAAGTATCACTATCCCACAATACTGTGAAATTTGTGAAATTTATGTAATCAATCTCAATAAAAAATTATTTTAAAAAATTCCCTCATATCCCCTCTTCATTACTCTGCTAATATTTTCAATTCCTCTACTGTCACTCAACTAAACTCAGCCTTCTCTCAGTTTTTGCTTTTTAAAATGAAACTAGAAAGATTGACCTCCCTTACGACCCAGTCATACCACTTCTAGGCATCTACCCTGAACAACAGGAACCAATATACAAGGACACGTGCACTTCCATGTTTATTGCAGCACTGTTCGCAATAGCTAGGATATGGAAACAACCTAGATGCCCCACCACAGATGAATGGATCCAAAAATTGTGGTATCTATACACAATGAAATATTATACAGCCATTAGAAATGACAAAATAATGGCATTTGCAGGGAAATGGATGGAGCTAGAAGGAATCATGTTGAGCGAGGTAAGCCAAGAACGAAGAGACAAACGGTACATGGTCTCCCTGATAAGTGGATGCTAAATCCAAAAGGTTAGGTGATACGACAAAACTAACAGGACTTAAGAAACAAAGAACTCCCGCTCATCTGGTTGAACCACTACTAAATATCCCCATGCTGCTGATCACATGTATGGTGTATAACATGTGTACACTGTTATATATCACAGACTGTGATAGACAATTTGCTCCAGGAAAGTTAGAATGAACATGTGACTTTGAAATTATGTAATCACTTAATCACAATCAAAAAAAAAAAAAAACCTCGGAGAAGGGAGGGAGGGAGGGGATGGTAGGGGGAAAACAATGGAGGGGGTAACAATGTTCAAGAGGAAGTGTACTCATTACCTCACTCATGTAACTGTAACCCTCTGTATAGTATCTTTACAATAATAAAATAAAATAAAATAAAATGAAACTAGAGTGGTGGACACTGGTGGCTCATGCTTGTGATCCTAGTTTTCAGAAGGCCAAGAGCTGAGGATCCTGGTTTGAAGCCAGCCAGAGCAAGAAAGTCCATGAGACTCTTAACTCTAATTAACCACCTCCCCCAAAAAAACCCGGAAGTGGAACTGTGGTTCAAGTGATAGAGCACTAGCCATAAGCACCAAAGCTCTGGGACAGTTCCCAGGGCCTGAGTTCAAGCTCAAGGACAGCACACAAATAAAAATAAAAATATGGCTGGAGGCATTCATCAGAGCACTTGCCTAGCATGTTCAATACCAACCAGAAGTTCAACTCTCAGCACCATAAACAAAATAAATTAATATATACATGCACCCACATACATTCATATATATTCCGCACATATATATTACATATAACTTTGTTGGATACAGGCATTTTCACTCAATAAGCCTTATTGGTAAGTGTTATCATTCATTTTACAAGGGAAAAAAACTAAATTTAGAGATATTAAAAGTGACTGTCAGGGGGGGAGTTCTCAAGATGGCGACGGGGCAGTAGGGAAACGCCACAGCTCTCTCCAACCAAAAAGAGAGTTCGAGTTCCAACCTTTAATCTCCCCAAGAGACCGACAACAACAAAAAGACGAACACTCAGAGAAAAACCAGAGGTGGAAAATAACAAAAAAAGAAAGAGAGGAAAAGAAGAATTTCAGAACAGAGAAGAGCGAAGACCCCTCCCCCAACCTTTACTGGCCGCGCGGCAGTGCGCCAAGCCGCCGGCCAGCCGGCCCGGCAGGGGCTGCCGGAGCCACAGAGACACAGGGGGCTGCTTGCAGATCACCAGGTACCGGATTGCAGAACAGCGGATCGCCAGGAACAGAGAAACCTACCAGCCGGGAGTCTCCAGGAGGATCCCACCCCACCCATCACTCTCCACCGGAGCGGAGAGGCTCCATCCCGCCAAAGCCGCCCGGCACCAGCAGCGCCACGAAGGGACCTGTCCGCAGACCACCCGCCCAATCGCGATCGCAACGACCCGGCGGGGGGCCGCCCAACCCAGCCCGCAACCACCCCAACTGAACTCGGACTGCAACAACAACTGACCGACTGCAACAACAACTGACGACCTACAGGGTGAGTACCCATCAGGGGACAGGGAATCCATCAAGGGAGACCAGAGCTGGAGGGAATCCCCAGACCCTGACCTAGACTCCCTACCCCAACACCCGGACCACAGGACCCACTAAAACTGGGAACTGTTCGAGAGCCCCACCAGCCGGTGGAGCACACTCTGCTGGCCAGGCCAGAGCAAGAGCGCCCCGGGAAGGGAGCTTAAATGCTCAAGCCAGGAACAGTGCCCCTGGGTCAAGACTACCAACAGTAGAAGAAATTTGAACTGTGTCCTCCAGGCTGCATAACCAAGGTGGTATACACATTAGCACAGGCCTAACGAGCGCGCTCCAGGCTGGGGCCGGAACCAGGCCAGGGGACCGGCGCCTGAACAAAGCAAAAAGGGTCAGAAGTGGGGCTGTGGCTCAAATGGTAGGGTGCCAGCCCTGAGCTGAAGAGCTGAGGGACAGCACCCAAACCTAGAGTTCAAGCCCACAACCAGCCCAAAACAAACAAACAAAAACACATCAGGAGCCCATAGCAGACTCCAGTATTTGGGAGAGTGCATCCAGAGCATCTGATCTTCCCAAGAGCACCCGCAGGAGCAAACACAAGCAGTCTAGGCTGCTCAACCCTTCCAAAGGCGGGAATTGCTACAGCAGAGAGCTGAGAATCCTAAGTGAATAGCAGCTGGAAATAGGCTCCCAACAGAATCCAGATCAGACACAGACTCTCTCTACCAATAGAGAATCAGCAACCAAGCAAAGACAGACACACCAAAACAAGATTGAAGAGCAGTCTCCTGAACCCCCATGCGAAAATCACAGAGAAAAATCACAAGGTTTACCACTACCCAGGACAGCAAGCTCACCTCAAAAGCCAGCAGCCACGCAGGGGAGAGCCCCAGTGGGAGCAAAGCAGGAATGGAAGACAAAAACTACATCCAAGGGTTGCTGGAGGCAATGACTCAAGAAATAAAGCGAGAAATGGATCAGAAATTGAAAGAGCACAAGGATGAACTATCAAAAGATATACAGGATATCAAACAAAAATTGGATGCAAAAATAGAAGCTGCACAAACCTCAGTAAGAAGTGAGATAAACGCCAAATTAGAGGTAATGCATACTGATATCACCTCATTGAGAGGTGAGATCAGTACTCTGAGAACCAACATTGAATCCATAAAGGGATCCATTTCCACCATGCAAACCACAATAGAAGCCACGGTCAACAGAGTGAATGAAATGGAAGGTAGAGTGTCAGATACAGAAGACAGAATACACCAACTGGACCAAAAAGTGACAGATATGGAAAAATCACTCAAATTAAACCAAAGGGAAATTCAAGAGCAAGCAGATAATGCTAAAAAATTTAACCTTCGCATAATCGGAGTGGACGAAGGTGAGGAATTCCAGAGCAAGGGAATGCAACACCTATTTAACAAGATAGTCAATGAAAATTTTCCCCACCTCAAAAACGACCATCTTAACTACATCACAAAAGCTTATCGAACACCCAACAAGCAAGATCCCAGGAGAAACACTTCTAGGCACATAATAGTAACAATGATGGATCTGAATAATAAGGAAACAATCCTGCATGCAGCAAAAATGAAGAAGGAGCTATACTACAACGGGAAAAAAATTAGAATCACTGCAGATCTCTCCACACAAACAATGAATGCAAGAA